CTGCCACTTGGTCACGGTCACTGTCTGCCCTCCCCTTGCCTCCTCTCTCCTCTTCCCCGATGTGTGCTGGGGGTGGGCCCCCATGCTGCCACATCACACGTCCCCAGGATCAATGCCTCTAGATATTATTCCTAGGGAGGCCTGGACTCTCAATATGCCTCACACCAGCCACCATTGTTCCTTCTAACAGCCCAAGCAAAGCCATGCGAAACGAGGTCCTGCAATGCAGCCAAATGTCTTCTGAATGCCAAATGCCCTGTGCCTTGTAGAGAGATGTATGGGGAGATGGGGAGTGAGGCAGACCTGCATCTCCAAGGATCAGAGGCCCCTTTATCTCACATCTTGTTGATGAAATCGCCAAGGTAAATAAAGGACTGTGGTCCTTTCTGGCCTCCAGTGTCCTCACCTGTAAAATGGAGATAAATTTCTCCCCCTTTACAGATTTCAGAAGATGCAGTTTAGAGGTGACTTATGCTGAAAAGCCTTCCAGGCATATGGATGGTTTTCGCTAACCAGTAGCCATTACTAACCCTTCACAAGTATTCATTCATTGTATTATCTCATCACATCATCAAAACAACCAGATGCTGTAGGGGTATCCTTATGCCCATTTCACCCCTGAGGAATCTGAGAAAAGGTTAAGTCACCTGCTCAAGGGCCCACAGAGAATAAGCAAGGAACCCTGGGGATACATGAAGTGTGTATACTTCGTCAAGTTCATAATTTTGTTCTTCAGCCATTCACTGATGTTCCCGATCCCAGAACCAACCTCCTCACACACTGTGTCCTGTACCCAAAACTCAGTCTCTATAAAAAGGTTTCCTCAAGCTGATCACACCTCAGTGTTGCCCCAAGGTTACTCAGGACTACCTGAGTATCATTAGCCAGTTTAATCCAGTGTTACGTCAGTGTTAGCCGAGTTTCATCTGTGTTTACCTCAGCGTAACTCAGAGTTACCTCATCTTTGCCCCAGCTACGGAGACCCGGTAGTGCAGTGGTTAGAGTTTGGCTGCTCACCAAAAGGTCAGCAGTTCAAATCCACCAGCTGCTCCTTGGAAACCCTATGGGGCAGTTCTACTCTGCCCTCTAGGGTCGCTATGAGTCAGAATTGACTCGATGGCACTTAACACCACCACCATGCTACCAAAAGGTAAGGAGTGTACTTTTACTTATTCCCTCAGACTGAGGTATTTGCATTTTCATCGGAACAGAAGACTTAAAGAAATAATGGCAAGAGGATTTCAGGCAACTCCAACATACATGGAGGTTTTCAGGGGAAGAGTGGGACGAGCTTCCCTGGTGCCCGATGTCACACGGGCCTGCGGTCTGCCAGAGATGAAATCAGAAGACCGCTAACGATGATGACGGACAGCTGCTGGCCAGTTACCGTGAGACAAGCATTTTAGACAGTATCTCCTTAGCCCTCATCGGGATCCTGTGAGTTGGATGCTGTAATACCTTTATGGCAGACAGGCAAATTTTAGATGGATTAGTACTTTATACAAAGACAAACTCTGAAGTGTTCATACACCTGGGACTTAGAGCTCAGACTTGCTCCAGAGTCCCTGCTGTCCCAGGCTCTGTTTTCCTGGTGGATTGTTCCAGGTGTTAAATTGCAGGCAGATCCTCAGCGGGCAGGGAGGCCCTCAGGCGGGGGGCCTGGGATGCTCAGCCGGCAGGGAGGCCCTCAGGCGGGGGCCTGGGATCCTCAGCGGGC